CCCACCTTTCCCCTCTCCGCCTACTGCTGAATTCCCTACCCAGCAGCAACAGTACACTTCCCCTCACCTTCCGAATCACCACAACAAGTACTCCACCACCACTAACTGACGTTCGAGTAATTCTTCCCCCACCACCACCCTACGGTTTCTCCTTCTCTGTCTTGTCCGCAAACGTGAGTCAGTGACGTAACGCCGGTTATTCAACCTGGTTGGATAGTGACGAAATGCCAAGGCCCATACTCGACTCCGCGAAAGTTCCACGCAACCGTTTATGCCCGTAACACACGACGAACCGTAGAGGAGTCAGCGTTAGATACCGACTGGGATTTATTACGTCACTCGGCGATCTACCCATTTAACGTCAGATAGTAAATGGACCGCTTTGTCAAATTTTGCCAATCTCGCTATAGCCGATACAGTCCGTTCAAAAAGTTCACCTCCCCACGTGGCCTCGACTCGTGACAACAGGAAGCTTATCCACGATCGGCAATACCTGAAATCCAATTGTGTCCCGAGTGCAGAGTAAAAATCGACACACGTCAAGCCGCGTGTTTGTGCGAGCGACGAATCTAGTGCGAACGCCGGGATTTATAAATAGAAGGGACATGCGCGACGGTGGGAGGAGCCTCGTGTATTAGGATACCAAGACGTTAGAGGACGGAGTGCGCGGGCTCGGAGCGGCAACCGAAAGTGCTTATTGTTTACTGTCGACAGTGGCGTTACGTCACCTAATAATATTCCCTTATTGCCCGAGGCGCAGGTAAATTTACCAATCAACCGACCGAGCGATCCATTCGAAAACAAAGTCAATTATTATCGTTCGGACAATGCATCGTCCAAGGACTCCCATTATGCTACCTATCTCATTATCATATATATAACTATATATGCACGTAGCTATATACATTCGCTGCTAAGCATAAAGGTCGTTGCCCGTAAATCTACCAGAAAAATTGACCGCCGAGCAGGTAAGTACGTCGCAAAAATAACATCCACACTCTACGAGAGTTCCGCGAGGATCGTGAATCCGCTTAAGTCCGACCGAAAATATCGTATAATCGAGTAGATGCGACTGCGATAGCACAGCCAACCAGGGACTCAGGGAGTCCAAGGATCCTGTCGCGCGTAGCTCAAGCTCCAGCCGCCAGCACGATTCCGTTATACGAAGATCCTTGGACTCTCGAGGAGCACGTGAGGGATACGAAGCGAACTGTAATGATACACGGGCGCAATGAACGCAGGGACAGGGGGTAAGTCCAGGGGGTTCGAGGGGGGGTAAGGGCGGACAACACGAGGATAAACCGATGACCGGGGAGAAGAGGTAGGTAGAGAAGGAGAGCGGCTCTTATGCCACATATGGGAGCAGAGTATATACAGGTACACACATGAGCAGTCACATACGTACGTTCAGGTATCCAGGCTACAGGTATTAAACTGGGTACGTAGCGGTGAGTGACCTATGGCTTCCCCTCATAGCTACCCGCGAATATTCCGTGTCAATGTACTTAGCATATGTGGAAGGCCACGTATGTGCCAAACCTGAACCGTGAACTTTACGTACGCGACAGCGTAATGTGCAACGATAACTCCCGCTCGGGTCAAGAGTCGTGGAATTTTGAGAAAAAAAAAAAAGAAAAAAAAAAGATTTTCATCCACTCAACCACTGACATCTAATTCCAGTATGAGACTGTTGAACCGTGTTATGAAATGTGGAATGTGTTTTATGTATACATTTATCTTACGACTCTGGAAACGCTCGCTCTTCGCCCGAAGATCGACGCCAATTTCCGATTTCATAATAAAGCATCCTCGCGATTTATTCTTATACCGACGAGATGGGAATAAAGTTTTTTTTTTTTTTTTTTTTTTTTTTTTTTTTTTTTTTTTCTTTCACAAGTACGTGTCGTAATGTCATTAGCTGGAGAACAATGGAATCATCACGGGTACCAACATCTAGCTCAGCGCGCAGCCGCTAGAATAAAAGACTAGATTGACTTGAGTCACGGGTTACGAAATTCCGCAAACTGTCTCGGGCGGTATGCGTGAGAGAGAATAAGAAGAAAAATATATATATATATATATATATAAAGAAGGTTCTCGTAGGAAGGACGGAGGAAGTGGATTGAAGGAGAATGCGTGAAATGGGTCGGGGTCAATGACCACGGGTTCTCGAATGAAATTTTTATTAGGGACAAGACGGACGCACTGTTGCCTTTGGATATTACGCAAGTGCCGTTTCACAGAGACGGATTAGGGCCTGTCACTCGAAATTACGAGAGCTCGTTGCTCCGAGCCCTCGACGTTAATAATTATGACCAATTGAAATTCTTAATAAAATTTAACAAATTTTCGGGATATGACGTTTACGTTCAACGTTTTCAAGTCTTGAGACAAATTCGACTATGACCGTCTACCCTATATATATATGCATCCAGCACCCACGCCCCCTCGCAAGAATCCTTCGAATAAAAAAAAAGCCGAGTACCTCATAGAGCCAGCCAGCCGATCTAACAATCTCTTGTGCAAATGGCACCGGCAGCAACGTTCGAAAATAATCTTGGCTCTTTCGCAAGGCGTCTCGGTCCAGCGCAGAAAGCAAGGCCACCAGGTCGTAGGCACGACCTGGTTGCGTCTACTAGCTTGTACCAACCTAAGAGGAGAAGGACTCGGATCGCGATCGAGTCTTCGTTCACCGTGGGCGACGAGTGCGTGAAGCTTCCAAGGACTGGTTGCTTCTGACGCCGGGTCGTTTGAACGTGCAAAGGCAAACGTGACTAACGACAGTAGGTCTGAGGACGATTGAGCCAGAGCCAGTAAGCGTTTTCGATTGCGTGACGGGAGAAACCAAAAATTTCGTAACCATACGCGAACAACGAAAATTTTCTTATCAAAAACGCTAGACAGGGTAATAATCATAAAAAAAAGGAAAAAAAAAAAAATCCAAAATCAACAATTTCCCTCCCTCGGTCACATTGCCCAATTTTATCTATACCTGCCCCGCGCCTGCGTACAACGCCCCTGTACGTTTGGTATAGGACTTCGACTGACGTGTTATTACACATAAACAAAAAGCCAACGCGTAACGCAGAAAGACTCGTAACGAAATGCTCGATAGTGTTACGGGGTCCATCTAGGAAAAAAAAAATCCGTGAAAGTAAGAGCCCAGTACGTCGGCCTTGATACGTACGGGGTTAGCGGCCGATATTCAGGACGGCCAAACCCCGTTTTGCTCGTTGCTCAATATCAGCCATTTGGACACGTAGAGCTTCGTAACAGCGATGCCGAGTCTTACGAAATTCCAACACGGGTCTTTGTACCAGACTACCCTGGTGCATAGAAAAAAAAAAGGGCCTAAAAGTCAGTCCCAATTACCAGCATACCAAAGTTCGATGCGAGAAAAATGGAGATACGGAAAACCATATTAAAAAAAAAAAAAGGGCCACAAAAATAAAGGGCCGTTCAAATACGAGAGATAAGAAGAAATGGTCGGGTGGGTATCTCCCGGGGTCAGTGCTGCTTTCTCCGACGGCCACGATCGAGAGTAAAAGCCGTCGTGGAGAGTAGTTGAGAGAAAGGGTGAGAGACAGTTGGGAGGAAAGGGGGGGGCTATACCGCTTGTCAACAGTGGGAACGGACTATGGAGAAGAAGCGAGAGAAAGGTGAAAGCACTCTCACCTCGTCCGAGGCGAACGGAAGATCTCGGGTTTTTTTTTTTTTTTTTTAATCGTGTATCGAGAAACGCGGTCGATTATCGAGCGGCCAGTTTTACGAGTTACGCTCGACGAAGGTATTTATAGTCCTACTGCTGGTATCGCCGTTCAGGATTCGGATAATGATTCACCGAAGATTCCTCGGACGGGCCGAGTTTGACTGATAGCGAGTTGACGGCGTCTATCGATCGGTGGCCATTTTGCTTTTGTTACGACTGGAAGAGCATAGGCGGCTAGCCAGACCCGAATAGCGGGCATAGACCTCGTCGCTCCGTTCGAACTTCGTGGCCCTGAGCCTTTATGAGCCATTGCGACATTCGCTCTCACCGAGTCGCCACAGACACGGGACGTTCGTGTGTCGGCCGCGCGTAGCTCTGCGCGCTGGATTATCCATTATTAAACGACTTTTACGGGAGCATGGTCAGAGGCGTGCGCTTACCATTGGAGATCAGGTGTCGGTAGGGTTTGGACAGGCTACTGGGCCGTAGAGGTTCAGGCAGTCGAAATTAACTGGTACTGGTAGGTACAATGAGGGTGAGCGTGATCGCGAGGAATGTATAGACACAGATGTGCCTCGGGATAACCTGGCATTGGATAGTAAGTGGAGCGCCTTATCGTTGCTGGTCTGGATTTCGAGAACGTGACTTTATCTGGGCTGTAAAAATTTTCCATAGGTTTTTGATAAATTCATAGACTCAAGACGAGTCCACATGAGGTAGACGGTCTACTGGGCGGTTGATGCCGATTACGTAATTCCCGCCTGTATCGCGGTTGGCTGGCTGGCGTCATTGGGAAACGCGTTTCGTACCGTTTCGAATGTGGGCCATCGGCACATCTAGTTGAAAAACAACTTAGGCTAGAGCACTGCGTCACGGTGAACACCATCCAGGATCCTATTCCGGGATTGTTTCGGGCTATCGTCTAAATGCATAGTTCGGGAGAAAAACTGGGTGGCAAGTTGTCTGGGTGTTTGGTTTCTTGAATAGATACAAAAAAAAAGATATATCAAATGTGTACCGCCGGTTTGTAGATGGCAATAAAAGTTAACCTAAAAATGTATATCCCGGCAGTTAATAAAATTCAGCAGGTGTACCGCGATACAGTAAACTGGAGACAATGGCTCGTTTTCCGCGCGTAACGGTAAAAAACGAGTTCAATGATTTGAAAATCGCGGTACGTGAGCGAGCGCCGACCCGCGGCGAAACGGTGAACTAGCGCGCCACAGTGAGAGGGTTTACGTACGCTAGATGGCGCGGCGGACGCTTCGTTCTTCCGGGGGAGCTCGCGGGCAATGTCAATGCCAGCGAGCACGTGAGCCCGTCAAGGAAATCGATAACTTTCAGTGTCAAAGCTTCCCGTAGGAATACAGAAGGGGGGTTGGAAGGATTTCCGGGATGCCGAAGCCGAGTATGCCTGCCGAACCTAACCCTGGCCATGCCCACGAAATCTAATGGCAACACAGTCTAATCCGCATCACGAGCCAATAGAGGTTAACCCAATTTGCTGAGATGAAAACTCTACCACGAATGCTAGTACGGTGAGTAGGAACGATCCTTTAAACAGGTACAGTAGGACGAGGATCTAAGGAAGAAAAGGAGAAAGAAACAACGTGCTATGGTCGTCGGAGCCATTAGCTGGGTAAATACGCCCTAAGGATCTCGGAAAACCGCTACACTAGTAAATTACCAGTCCGACACGAAAGACTCTCCTTTCTCCGTTCCTTTCGTCACGCTGGGTCCTGGCTTTTCCGTCGACGCCGAAGCCCGTAATTTTTCCGTGATGCGCAAAAGCAAAACCGAAAACCGATTCTACGAGCAGGTACGTCACGCTAGTCAAGCGGATACCATTTTAAGGACAAATTCAGCCAGAGTGGACCGAGTTAAATTGTCAAAGGGCCACCACGGACTCTCCGGACAAGACCAGCCACTATTGACTTCGCGTACAAGACGATGGACCGGATGGAATCTGAATTTAACAACATACGGATATGGCGGCTTACGCATCTTACGGAAATATCCGTAACTTCCCTGGTCTGCGGTTCGACCTCATCCGGGTTCGATTTTGAACATGCGTACATGAAAAGTGGAACCGCACAATATCACGAAATAAAATATTGATAAAAAAATCAACCAGTCACGAGTCTAAGATACAGTCGAAAAATACGAGTCACGTAAGTCGATGCGGCGGTAAACAATCTTGTTGTCTCGTAAGCGAAGCAACGTTAGGATAATCGTGTAAACGTCGTTCGACCATCCAAAAAAATTGTTTATCCATTTCTCTACGTCAAAGTGTGTTTACGAATTTTTTGAAAATTACTTCTAACGTATGTGCCATGTATGTATTTTTTTTTTTTTTTTTGGGAAATTTCTACTTATTTATCAACACCGACAAACCTTTCGTTTGGCAGTCACGTTCCTTCTGGCTTTTATCAGCGTCCGCAACCACGATCGTCACCTCGCAGATCTCGACGGGATCTTCGACGATGACGTCATCGGCTATCTCGAGCACAGCCAAATCGCAGTCCTCCATTTTCGATACCTTGCGCGACTCCTCAATAGTGAAAATCCGAAATACCGAAGGAGCCCTGTGCGAGGGCAACGCGTACTCGCGGGGGTTGATCCATGAATGACCGAGGGATGAGGCTGCGTCCCTCTCGCGCAAGCGTCGACGCCCACGCGACTTCGACTCCTAAAACGACGCCGGACGATTCCCGCGGCACGGAACAAACCGAGGTCACGTGCGGCGCTGAGAAATTTAGTAATACTTTAACCTCTCGGTACGGAAGGTGCACTTGTACTGAGGTCCGCGAGCCAGAAGTCACTGCGGTACCAGAAATTTGCATTGTTCCCTGATATCGTAAGACTCGGGCTACGCGTGAAATCGTTGTCCCAAATTCTAATGGACCGTCGAGGTCGAACCAGACACTTTCCTGTATGCTCGAAACGACCTAAAGATATCGAATGACCCTGACGAAGTTTCTTACCGATGGTGTCCCGGAGCAAATATTTCGACCAAGTACCCCAAAAGGCTCTCCTCGATATAAATCGCACGAAATGGTAATACCTAAACTTCTCGAAGCATAAAAAAAAAGTTCAACATCACCGAAACAAAGCTCGGGTACGATTGATATATCTGGATAACTTAATTGAACTCACAGTCGGAGAGCGCAACAGCCGCGTGTCAGAGTCCTCGAAACACTTACCTGTAAGAAAAACAATGAATTGCGTTAGAAAAATTGAAAGTTGGACGACCTTTAGAAAAAGAAAGAAAAAAAAAGGAGGTTAAACACTTTACAAGCCCTATCGGTTCGTTAGCCTCGTTGTAAATACGTGAATCAATGTTAAAATTAAGATAAATTATTTACCACAAATACATAATCGATACCCCGGCCAATACCATTAACGGTATCTCAACGTAAATCCCGTCGGAAAGTATCATATAGCCGGATCTCACGTGTGACCCGGAGCGCTTATTGCTCGCGAGTACCGACTCGCGAAATATGAATTCCCTGCCGTACCGACCCTCGCGAAAATACGCGAAAGGACAGTGGCGCCGCTCAACGGTGTCCCAGGCAAACACAAGTTGCGCCTTTCGATCTCGACGCTCATAGGACCCGGAGCGCGCGCATGCGCACAGACACCACTGTGAAATCCCTGCTGTACGTGTATCTTGGAAACTCACCTAAGGGGAGAAGCCGATGACGACAAAGTCGACGACGGCGGCAGAGCGGGTCGTTGACCGAAAGCGAAGGAAAGTGGGACAACAGAGCGAATTCAAAGAGCTAATACTCGAGGCCTTGAGATTACTGACGCATGCGCGCGCCTTCGACGCAACTCATACCTACTGTCGCGGTATATATAGATATACCAGCGCCACGTGAGAGGCTCTATTCTCTTGACTGGCTAATGGCACGCGAGATCCCGGCCATTGTTGCATTTGCGGTACCCTCCACGCTTATGGGTCCTTAAGGCCCATACCCACCGCCGCCATTATTACGTGTACACTGTCCACCACTACCACCTGTACTCCTCGTATCACTATATACCATCCGTATACTATCCACAGAATCGTACAGGGTGACACGCTCTGTTTGTCACGCTCACCCTGAACACGTCAATTTGTAATTGCATCAACGATACAAAATAATATCGAACGAGAGGGGGTGGGGGGTGGGAGGATTAAGTATTTTAATATGTAAATTTTTTTTATATACCCATTTTCTTACAGCTACCTAATAATACAGCCAGAACAATGTATTTCGTGAATTTTTCCTTCTCACGATGCTACTGACGCAAGAGACTGGTAAAAATTTTAAAGAAATCCTATGAGTCCCACAGCATCGTCTTGTATGCACGAGTCCCAGGCACCAGCTGTTCTCCTTTCGGATCTCGAGTAAAAATTTCAATCTTTCACATAGGTTAATACGAGATCTCGTTTTCCAAGTGTATCCTCGCGCACGAGTGATACTAATCCCAGACTTCATATACACATATATGTATACGGGTTTATTAAAATCCCAATAAAAAAAAATTATTTTCCACAGATGTCAAATTAATTTTTCATCCATCAAGTACAATATAATTGCAATGAAAAATTGAATTTTTCATCCGTCCTTGATCAGTCCCAAAAATTATACCTGTACATATGGAAAGGTGGGATAGACGATAAAGTTCAAAAACTAGACCTCGTGTCGATATAGTTCAAAAATTGAAATTTTTACTCGCAGTAGTAAAACCGCATTCGTAGCATGGGACCAAAGGTGTGCATTTGGCAGTGCACTGGCTGACCTTGGCAAATCAGGAAATTAATTCTGTGACTGGTGAACGTTTTAGGCCTTATCGTTGGTCTTTTCTGAAGAATTGACTCAGTACCCCCCTCCCCCCCCTTTGTTGCCAAAGACCTTGCACGCGATTCGACACTCGGCCAACTGTGCGCTATCAGGAATTTTGTTATAGACACTTGCGTTACGAGATAAAGGAACAATATCGACAACTGTTCGCGTGCGCGAATAAACATGCGACTTCGGCGCTCTCGAACGCATTTGAAATTCATTTGTGAAATTGCGGTGAACGAACGGGCACAGTGATTTCGTCACGATTTCACATACCCAGTAACAACCCGCGTGTTTACATAAGTTTACGTTCTTTACATAAGGGAATCCGTTCGCAATTTCCAAAAGCGTCTATGCATAGGTATATATATATATATTTAGGAATAATTTACCAACCTTACCAACAACGGCAACGAGAGTGCATGTACAGTCGCTATGAAAATGTTGAATATACCTACCTACGGAGCCGTGCAATTCTAACGGCGCTCGTAGTAATAAGGATAAGTCAGGATTGAATTGCGACATAGGAAAAGCGATACGTTCTCTCAAGATCCTTTTACTTTCAATTTTATATCGAACGGCGACTCCGCGTTCTCGTAATACGCAAGTTCGTTCGATAGGATGGAAAAAAGATGTAGACGAGCAAAAAAAAAAATTAAAGTTTTACAAGCAAAAAAAAATATATATAACCCGCTCCTAAAAGGATTGGGACCGAGAAGAAAAATTTGAAAAACAAAAAAAAATTTAAACAAAAATGATCAAAGAGACTACGAGGGACGCCCAGCTAGCGGAAGTTACGTGCTCTGTTGCAATTTGGAAGAGTCGACCGATCGAAGTGACGGCCGATTGGCGACTTCTAAAAAGTGAAAGCCGACCGGGAGGAGTACCTTCGTGGTTACGATAATGCCCGGGACATCTGGTGGCAGTCCCCAAATAACGTGGCGATACGGTATAAAAGAAAAATATACTAATCGTAACATCGAACCCAAGTCGCAAGTGTGTTGGACGAAAATGAAGAAATCGGATAGTAAAAATGTCTTTCTAGATCTCGTGTACCGCGAGAGTTCATAGAAAGTTCGTGAAAGTCCATGCAATTGCACTACCGCCTGCACTTCCAGGTGGTGACTTGGCCGACTGGGATTTGTTGGGCGATATTACGAAATCTGCACACAGCATTGTCGCTGGCGCGTCCGGTGCGCTGGAAACGTTATTATGAACTTCACTGTAGCAACGTGGGGGCTGATTTATAAAATATTCACGTGTAGCGTATAGCCGGTCATTTCGTGGGGATAAGAAGGGGGCTGCGGAAAATGGTACTACGGCTTAGGCAAACGATCGAGAAATATATATATATATATATATATATATCGAAATATAGAAAACGCCTATAGACGGTACAAGGTAAAATTATGAGCTCGTAAAACAATGAACGGACTATCGATCAGGGTCGACGTGAAATTGTGAAAAATCATTACACCCCACCATCGAGTGCACCCCCACGAAACGACAGGGTATTATGCGAAAGGGGTGCCATAGCGAAAATATCCTGGCACCCCTGGGGGATCGTAAACACGAATGGTTCGGCGGAATCGTGTCGGGGTTGACCGGGTTAGAGGTCGTCGCGAGATCATTGCCCTGGGAGTCCTGAGTTCAGAGAAGGAGGGCAGGTGAGCAGGGAGGGGGTAGGGGTGACAGTGGGTGGCATTGACGTCAACCGTGTGGCCCCCCGACTGAGATGACGAGGAAGGGATGAAACACGGGGTGCAATAACCCCATTAGGATGAGGATGATGATGACACAGGGTGGATCCAGTCGATATGCAATTTCAGCACCTACGTCATATCCCGTGTAAGTGCTGGCTCGAATGCACCTGAAACGACGTAGAGTCTTGGTCGAGGATCCATGTATACAGGTATAGTTAACCAAGTACGTAACGATTAACTTATGAGGACGTCGCGGAGGATTTGAAAACTTTTTTTTTATAAATCTTTTTTTTTTCTTTTTTTTTTTAAATATCGTTCTTGCGCAATTATTCAAGCATGTAGCCACGTATGTAGAAATAGTGGGTTTTGTCATCTAATAAGCGGATACGCGTAATCCGACACATGACTCTCTCTCTCTCTCTATACATATATGTATATGCACGGTACAGATAAGCTACATAGAGATAGCAATGACGGTTTCCTAATCGAAGTGAATGACGGATCGTTATGGATCGACGCACGCGACCTTCGAAGCCGGAATCGGACACAGACCGTTCATCGACATCGAATTAGGATAATATATATATTGTTAGAGCTGCTTTTTCATTTGCGAATGTTTGACGAAA